AAAAAAAAAAAAAAAAAAAAAAAAAAAAATTAGAGACTACTACTCTAGGGCAGTAAATGGAAGATTTCTTGACAAAATATACATTTCTAAATTTGATCTAATGAAATTAATCTGTTTATCATCTATTCCTTCTATGATATTTTTCCTATTAGTTCATTTCTCATCAATGCTATGATCTTTGCAAACGCAGTATAACAAACAAATACCTTTGCAGGCAAGGTCTTTTGGGGTTACATGAAATGGAGATATCCCCAGTCCCAAGAGTCTATGGGATTTATAAGGTGTCATATTTCATTAGGGTCATGTCCTCACCTAGGATGCGTTCCTTTTTTAGAGACTTTGGACTTTCCTTTTGCTTGGCATTTAGAAAGATATTAAAGGACCCAAGTAACATCCAGTGTAGATACAGAGTGGGGAGATAGTGATTGCCTCCCAACCATTTCTCAGCCTCTGGACTGTCCCAGAAGCATGGTACTATTCACTGAGCTCCCTTCAGAAAAGACTAGAAACTTTCCCTGTGCTTGGACGTGCTACCTCTAACACAGTCTTGCATCCAGAGATTCCCCCTCTCCCCGTGCTCATCTTCTAAAGCCCTCAGCCCTCACTCCCCAAGATAAACAATACAAGTTGAAAAATATCCCACTCAGAGTCTTTATCCAACTTCTCATTTATTTCTCCTTCAGCGGGGCTGGCCACCACTCTTCATTTTAGGCAAAACTGCTGTTCTCTGCTGTAGTTCAAGTTCCATGCTTTGGAAGCATGGCTTTAGATTTCTCCAGAATCCTGAGTGTGAAAAAATAATATACTTTTCTTGCCAGCAGGACCCTCTCTAGAGACAGCTCATTATCCAGCCCAAGCACATGGGAAATTGAATCCCCTGCAGTGACAATATGTTATGGGCTGTGATCGACATATTCACTGGACTTTGTTCAGGTGGTTAACATTCAATGACCAAAAGTGATTTCTCAAGAAATTATAGTATGTGCACAATTTTTTATACTTCTGTGGTTTTATCTGTCTCATATGTTTGACCTCAAAGCATACTGAATATTAGATTGGAATTCAGAGCAAGTCACTTAAACTCTCTGGGCCACAGTTTTCTCATCTGTAAAATTAAGGGATTGGATTTGATGATCTTTGAGATGACTTCTGGCTCTAATCATCTGTGAACATAATTTTAATTTGCTGCATGAATAACCTAGCTGTATCTTAGATGACATATAATACAGGCAGGGCCTCCTGAAAATGTGGCAATCTTTGTAATGTTATGCAAAGTAAGACATATCTCTGTAAAACAGCTCCATTACGACACTAGTTTGAAAAGGAAAATTTAGTGCAGAAAGAGCCAAGAGCAATTAAAATAATCTGGCAGGGGAGATATTAGATTTTAATTTAAAACGTTTTCAGAAAAACGTTTTAAAATTAGTCAAGAAAATAAGTCAAGAAAAAGAACAGAAGCAAATTGGACAGAAAAAGGAACTGATAAAGAAAGAGAGAAGAAAAAGCAATTGATGAAAGGGAAAAGAATCTTAAGATGCAAGCTCAGAATATTCTCTAGCCTGTTTCCCTGTGTGACCATCATTACTTTGGACTCTATTTGGTCCAGACAAGGCTGAGATCACAGATGAGGGAGTATTCACTTCCCTTGGGTGGTAAACCTGGCTGGTCACTGTGCCTTTTGCTGGACGAACACACAGGTCTGACTAACACAGTCCTTTCATTCTAAATAGTGATCAGATGATACAGGGAGCCCTACGGCACCCTAAATTTATAATTTTGGAGCCTGTTGCAGTTTCCCATAGACCAGGACATGTGTGATTGGCTCTCATGAATTGTTGAGGGTGAGCTTTGTAGGATTTCTCAGGGAACATCAGGAAAGTGTTGGGGGTTGATCAAGAGACCGAGTAGGGGCTGGACTGGTGACGCCTGGCAGTGGGCTAACACTCCAAGGTGGTAGGTGAGCCCTCAAAGCAACCTGAGTCAGAGACACCTGCTTGCTGACTTGGAAATACAGAGGTGTTAGGACCCTTTGTAGTTACCATTTTATTGTGGATACTTTTTGCAGAATAAAATAGTATCAGAGAAAGCGTCAATGGAAACTCTGTCCTTGGCCCTCACCCTGTTTTATTGCTCTAGCAGAATTGTTTCCACAGCAATAATGATGGTATTTGTTGTTGATTTCTAGTTCCCCCTTACAACACCTGTGAGTTTCCCTGCTGAAGCCTTTCCTGTCTTCATCTGATAAAGGTTAAGTTTCCGGATTTAAATCCAGTTACTTTTCCATCTGTAGTTTGTGCCATGTGGCTATGATGTCAGCCTCTAAATATGTGTTTGGGAGAAAAAAGATCAGCTTTTTGTCGTTACTTTGATTCCCTCTCTTGTCACATTGTTTCTGCTTTTATCCAGATGTGCCTGGGGAAATAGAAAGAACTAGCAAGTAAAATATTAGTTGGTCAAAACTGTTAAGTTCTTAGTAACTAAGAAACTAGGTTTTAATTTAAAGTACTAGGCTATGCTAAGTTAAAGTACAAAGTATTTGAGTCCTGAGTGTAATTGATCTGTTAACTTTACCAATTAAAAATATAATGTTTTATTCTATCATCGTCTGTTGCATGCACATTAATATATAATCCTACCAAGAGGAAAATTAAAAACTATAAACAAGAAAAGAGAAATATGCTTGATTCATTTTTAACTTTAATGTTAGATGAAAACCTACTGAATATCTAGTCTGATGTCTTTCAAACTGTAACTCCTGACTCATTAGTGAGTCATAAAATTAATATATTGGATTGCTAGCTGTAATTATTAAAAGGATAGAGTAGAATAGTGAGTAATAGAAGAGAAAGTATTAGAATTTATCATACAAAGTTAGGCATCGATTTACAAAACCTGTCAGCAAAATCTGTGTATGTGTGTGCATGGTTGATGAAAATGTAATTTTTTTAGCGTGATTGATAACAGTGTATGTCTAGAAAGTTAGAAATGCAAATCTAGTCCAATTGCTTTAATGTTTAAATGGGGGAGATAGAAGTCTGGAATGTTGAACTTATCCTCCCAACAATACACAGCTATTTAGTTTGGGAGCTAAACTAGACACTCAGGTAATCTATATCTTTTACCATGTCCACAGTAACTTTGAAATGCTCTAAGTGAGCTTCATGTAGTGAGACTGATAACGCTCAGTTCAGAGCTGTTGTTGAACTGTAGTGGACTTTTCAGATTTCCTGCAGAGATGAGCTTTACGGTTGTCCAGGGAAATGGCCAGGAACAATCACAACTACATCAGTATAGGGCCAAATGTGAGCTGTGAACCTTCCTGGGCTTTTTCAACCTTCTTGTTCCCAATACAGAGTTCCCACCTAACCTCCAGTGGATGTTTAGTGCTATTTTTTTCTTTTTCTATAATCAGTCATCCTGTTATAAGTTCAGAAGAGGCATCTAGGAATGGGAAGCTAATGAATGACGATCAGATGGCCTAAAGAGGGCTTCTTTAGAAGAAACTGATAGAGAGTTCTGTTTCTGTTTTAAAACTTCCGTCTGGGAGGGCAGTGTTCTCAACTCCAAGGTACATAAGAAATTTGGGGCGGGATTTTCATGTTACAAATTCAGATATCAGGGCCTCACCCAGAAATTCTGATTAAAATATTGGGTTGGTGCATATACATTTATAGCATTGGGCAACCCCTTCAGGTCCCTTCCCACTGTGGGAACTTTTCTGTCCTCTCAATAAATCCTTAAAAAAAAAAGTTCATAGTGTTTTTCACCTCCCCATGGAATGCAGATGCTGAATGATGATTGGTTGCAGTTCATAACATTTGCCATTCTCAGGTTGACTAATGTGGATCATCGTGGATAAACATTTAAATGATCTTCATCAAAGCCCAATGGGCTTCTTGAACGTGGAGAATCACTCAGGTCAAAGTGGCCCTCTTTGAAATGTCAAAACCATTTTCTTGCCATGCCTTCCCTGATGGCATTCCCCTGGTACATAAGACAAATGTTTCGAGCCACCCCTGATGCCTTTACTCCTTTGTTAAACTCAAACAGAAGAATAAATCAGAAGTGTTCTTTTTTTCCACTTGACACTTTATCTTCTTTAGTCCACAAATAGCCCTAACTTTCTTCAAATCTTAAAATGCACAAGTTCAACACTGTCATTCTGACAAATGACAGATTTTAAACAAACTTCCTATACAAGTGTTGCCATGCCAAACACAAATGCTACAGGCCGGATGTGGTGGCTCACTCCTGTAATCCCAGCACTTTG